AACTTTTATTCTGTTTTTGACACTGCAGTTATCAGAACTCCTAAGAGTTATCACTAGTGAGAATGAGTCATTGTTTATTTTTTGCTGTTGATTTCTATAAACCATAACTTTTATGTATCTCGTATTCTTGTGTGATGATCTGCGTCATGGATGGTCGGTGAGTATTCAGTAATGACTGCTATGTTGTGCACTAAACGGTTCACCTTTTTATGGTGTTTTTCCTGGAGGAAACTATTGAGCATAGGAGTTACCAAGAACTAAACCGAGTGATTCTATTGAGCAGGGTCTTTCAGTGTGGCTTGAACACGAACGGCTGCAGAGGGCAAGAGCTTCAGGAAAAGGCATTGAAGAGGTATTTCTGCCATGTTTGTGAGTATGTCCTATAAGTTATCTGCAATTATTAACCATACAGCTAACTGTAGACCTATGGCACCCCTGCTTTAAGTGTTCTTTTCTTATTTCCCAAGAGCTACTTGATCTTCCTGGTCCATGTTGTTAGAACCTACACATTAAGTCGTGTATTGTAAATTTCTAAGCTTCTATTGTTGACTTACTAATTCAGTATCTATATGTAGGTGGGTAATATTAGTTGCATTACAGGATCCTGTTTTGTTAAATTCGAAGTTATGTGGTTGAATTTATTGGGTCCAAATAAAGAAAATTTGATGTGATGATCCATGTCATATGATAACTCATGGCCAACTTAACAAGAACGAAATTGTGAAATGAGTTGTGAAAACAATAAAGTGATGAATCTTGATATTATTTCCTTGTCTTTAGGAATTGTGTTACAGTCTGATGTCAATTATGGAGTAAACTTATTGTAATTTCCTTTTTTTTGTCTATGATACTTTATTTGACAAATTCTTTTTTCATAGTATCAAGATGTGCATCGCCGGGAAGAAGATCCAGAAGGACATGGACATCAAGCCCTTTGAGTTCGGGGATACCTTCGTGCAGGTCAGTATCTCTCGCGTTCCTCTCGTCGCCGGCTTGTTGACATGAATGAGGGAGGGTGAACTAAGTATTTGTTGACTAGGTGGATTGCTAATGAAGCTCACATGTGGATTGCTTTGCGTTATTGGGATTCAGTTGCAGTATTGTTCCATGACAACGGTGAAATGTTTAAAAATTACATATTGTTCCAGATTTGGTTCTGCAATAAGATATGTGCTTCCTTTAGTTATAGGTTAGGTACACCCATTGATTATTTGCCGCAATTCCAATATATAGTAAGGAGTCTATTGCTGGTTTGAATTTGGGACTCCATACCACAAGTAGCCAATGTAAATTGGTAATTATTTGCATAGAAATCTCTTTTTTTCATAGTACCATGAACATCCTTGTGAGTTTTTCTTCACTTAGGATGTCGTGATATACAATAGCGCCGGCTAGATGGATCTGGAAAATGCATTTCTGATTCTTACATCCCTGAGCATTTTTATTTTCTTTGTTATGTAGAAACCTGCATCAATTGCCAATGCGTAGGATTTCTGTAAGCCTCTAAATGATGCTATTGCAAAAGCAACTGCTATGACTGAAGGAGGACTGACTACTTTAATCATATGGAGAGTGTTCCTGACAGTCTCGCGGCCTTGGCTTGGGTTGCATTCTTAGGAAACGATTGTGGTTAGTGAAATTGCTTCACTGGTTTTGATTTTGAGTCCTGTCAAAGTTACACAAGTTTGTCCACTCTCTACAAAGCAAAAGTTTCCCAACACCACATGTTGAAGAAAGTTGGCACATGTTAACATAGCAGTGTTTTTTCAAGATTTATTACCATTTTTAGACCATGAAATAGCTTTTATTTTTCTTCAGGGTATATATCCTTGTCCTTGGTGCCCGGTTATCTGCTGCTTGGGACTGGGTTTATTTGTATGGCTGCGGTAGAAGCCGGGAAGGTGTGGCGGAGTAGAAGGAGAGCACATATCTATGGTGATCTGGTGTGGGGTGGGAGAAGGATCTGCACGGGGAGAGTGGTATCTCGCATCTCTCTCGTAGTTTACGCTCGATTGATTTGCTGCCAGTATTGTCCTGTACCGATATCATGAAATTAGATAGGTACAAAATGACTATTCATCTTTACTTTGCTCAATTAATTTCTAGCATTTTCTGTCTTTTATGATTGCCACCGACATCCTCGGTTGCATCAAATTTAACATCAGTTTGTTGCTGGTAAGTCTCTGTCATCTTCGAGTTATATAACACATTCAGATCTTTACTTTCAGCATTTACTTGACTGGACACCGTTATTTCTATTGCAAAGAAAAGACAGATTTTTTTTTGGAACATTCCAGTCAATTGTTGAAACATAGGGAAGAAGATTTGCTTGTAGAAATTTTGAAACATTGTTGAAATAGGAAGACATTAGAAATTTTGATTGCCAGCCTGTTTGCTTGTAGAAAGATAGCTTGCATTGTTAGCCTGCTTTTTTGTTTGTTTCACAAGCTTCAAATATTCTACAGTGCTGATGGTGATGGAGGGGTTTGGTTACAGTGTATTGGTGTACAACCCTCCCAAGTTTTCAAGTATTTTAGTCTCCCATCTTTTGCAATATAGAAAGTCTCATGATACATTTTCTTCTGCAATGTTATTTATAGGATTGTAGTACATGTTCGGTTCAGTGCTCCTGGCAGCTATAATTGTTGTTGGTATGTGCACCCCTCATCCTCCTGGTTACTTCTCACACAAAAAAATGGTTTTTGTGTAGTGTTGGGCGAAGCAAGCGGCATGCGGCCCGTGCGCCGTGAACCACTCCAACAAGTGCCCGGCGTGCACAGACGTCAATGGCTTGCATGAGCGCGACAAGGGGGCTGACTGCTACCTTCTGGCGGTAAAGGCCAAAAGGGTGCCCTGCCCCGAGGAGGCGTACTGCTGTGGGGGCTCCGTGGTGTACTGCATGGTTGGTGACCACTGTCTGGTGCGCCCGCACGAGCCGTGCCGCTGCCCTGAGCCCGGCTGCAGCTTCCTCGACCCATCGCTGGTGCTCCGTGGCCACCAGTGGCCCGTGACTGACGTTGCCTACGTGTCGATGTTGGAGGTCCAGATGCAGCCGGCACAGCGGAGCTGCGGTGGAGGACCGGAGCGGCTGTTCTTGTTGGTGGCGAGCAAGTGCGGTGTCATGGTGGTACAGGTGCAAGGTGTTGGTGCACACTCCCGTGGACACGGACACTGACCACATGGACATCCTGATGCTGGACGCCAAGGTGAGGAGCTGCGTCGTCCCCGGTGTGGAGGCGGCCATGGATGCGGGCGGCAGGTACCTGCCAGTGTCGGCTGACGTGCCGCCGCAGGAATGAGGAGCCCCCGTTCCTGGGGTTGACGATTCGCTGGTCAGCTCTGGTTATTTTATCTTATATATATTCCCTCCGTATATTATGGGACGGAGGGAGTATTATATATCTACCATGGCTGACATTGGTGATTTGGTAGTGAACTAGCAGTGATCATTGGTGATTGGTTCTGTTCATGGCAATGGTTGCCAACGTATCGAGTACCAATGCGGTTGATCCCTACTTGGCATGTTCATCTTGTTTGACTGTTGCTGTTCTTGCAAGGATGAACAAATCACACGGATTCTATTCTTGACAGTGCGCCCTGTACCTTGCACCTGTAATTTGAGTTGATTATCTGCTAGCTAGCTGCTACAAAAGGCGTGCTATGCGGTGGCACATGGTACCACGGCACCACGCTACTACTACTGAAGTGAGCCAAAGACACGTCGTTGTCATCACCCTTTTCTTATCGAAACTGGGTAAACCTTATTGTATTAGACAGTCGAAAAGTCGTCATACTAAGGCCAGCGCCGAAGCCAGCCAATACAACCTGTCGGGTCATTGCTAATTTTTAGGATTATTTCGTTCATAATATACCATAAATAGTACAATATCTTATATATAGATAATGCTAACTGACGAACTTTCACCAGGAAGAAACTCCCGGCAAATCTCCTCGCTGCCGTTTGATCGAAATCAAACGATGGTAGTTTTAAAAAAATATTGCCTTCACAACACAATAATGACATGCTAGTATGAAGAAATCGCCATGTCCCTAAAATTAAAACTGTCATGAAAAATGTTCGTAGATGCTAACCCCCAGGCGAATGATCGCTAGCTAAGAGGGCCCTTCAACATTTATGTGTCCCTTGTTATTACAGAAATAATTCTAATATTAAGTTACCAAGTGTGATGATTAGTAGACATAAATGAGTTAGAAATTATGGGTTTAAACACCCTTTGTTTCTTCCTTTGGAAAGATATATACAAGTGTATGTGTGTCTATATCAAGGAGGGTATGTACTACTTTTTTTTTTTTTTGACATCAAGGGTCCGTTCGTTACTAAATATAAGATTTTTTAGAGATTCCAACACAGGCTACATATACAGTAAAATGAACGAATCTATATTTTAAAACATATTTATACATCCGTATGTAGTCTCTGTTGGAATCTATAAAAGTTCGTATGTTTAGAAAACGGAGGGAGGGAGTAGTTCATTATAAGTAACTAGTAGACTGCCCGTGCGTTGCTACGGGCTACAATAAAGTGCATCTCTACTACTAATAAACAATCCAACATTATCTTTTCTAAACGCACCCCATAAAACATACACGGATTTATTACCACCGCATGATTAGACCTATATTGTCCGTAGTTGCAGGGCTGGCACAATATCATCCAAGATAACTTTATTAAGTCTAGCACATTAATAGTTCACCATAAGGTCATACCCAAAGACTAGAAGTTTGCTAATAGTGATGCAATGCACGAAAAGTAAAAATTTTGCATGGAATTTTTTGTTTGCACAATGGAATTTACAACAATCGTGAATTAAAACTATTTGTACTCTAATGGACAGAACTGCCAAAGAACATAACTACAGGGTGATGATAAATAACATATGGAACTGCAAGTGAGCACAGAATGAAACACACACCCTCGGCTTCAAACCAAAGTGTTTCACATGAGAAATGATTCCATCAATACTCCAGTCCGGCAGCGTTCAAATAGGAGAAGTTAAAGGGAATAGCATTTCAACCATGTCCCTACTGCCTTTAGAGGCAGCAACTTCAATTGGTGTCCTACCACACTGCAAGAGTAAATAATAAATAACAAATATAAATACAAAATGTAATTGAAAGATTTCCAAATTAATATTTAGGAATCACAGCCTAAGATCTCAATGAAATGGCTGGTTGGACTTCAAGAGAATCACTATGAAGGACAAATGATAGAACAGTCTCGTTCATCCTTCCGAACAAAATTTGTAAGACAAGGGTTACGTCAAGTACACTAACACTAATAACCGAGAGCTTCAACTAATATGTTGTATTGCATAGACTTTTCAAAATAGAATAGGATGAAGATGATACAAACACCAAAATATACATGGAAAGGGCAAAGAAATCTTTGCAGAAGTAACATTTTATGTTTCTTTGACCAGGCTATGAAGAAACTGGAGATTTTTTTCAATTCCTAATTCAGTAGACAAGAAACATATACATGACATACTCTGCAATTTACAACACAGAAGATTCAAATTTTACAATGTTTCGACATCATCTCTGCTACTATAAACACACAGCTCTTTGTCTCTCTCCCTCCCTCTCTACACCACCGCTGCCCTTGTCGGAGCGAGGTTATGTGGAGTCCACCTGTAATCCCTCCTGCACTGGTGCCGGCCTCCATTGCCCCCTGGCCGCAGAGTCAAAGTTCAGGCGAAGGGGTCCTTGGTAGGGCACATGATCTGATCCTCTTCTAAGCGTCCGATGCATTATCCCACACTAAATTATCGAGGCACTGGGACGTGCCAGCAGAAACCTCTAGGTAGTGATGGATTTTAGTGCCGAATTCTTCCATGATTTCAGGTTGCGATTTATATTGATTTATTTACATTCACCGGTATAGCTATATTTTTATCCTATATCCGCATTTTTTTCTTTTTTCTTTTTAGTTGTGTTGGACATGTTGGAAGGACAGACCTGGTGCAGTGGTGAAGTACTCCCACTTGTGCCAAGAGGTCCAAGGTTCGACGCGGCCTCTCTGCATTGCAATGTGCGGGGGTAAGGCTTGCCTCGTATAATCCCTCTCTAGACCCCACCTAGTGTTGGAGCTTCTAACATTGGGTCTGTCCTTTTTGTGTTGGACGTGCTGACTGTGTGCATCATGCTATGCAGAGGCCGGCCATTTGCTCAGTGCAGTTGTACCACCTCAATATATCGGTTGAATGAAAATGTCCTTTATTTGAAAGGCTATACTTTTATCATAAATAACTAGAAGTAAAGCACCAGTACTGATGTTCTTCGCATGTTTTTTTATTTTTGTAATCTTTGTAAAAGCATGTGCGAAAAAATGATCATACATAACTACTCCCACCATCCCAAAATAAGTGTCTTTGATTTAGTAAAATTTTAGAAAATTTTACTAAATCAAAGACACTTATTTTTGGACGGAGGGAGTACATCTTATAGCTTGTACACCCTAATTCAGGATATATATATATATATGACCTGGGCACAAGAAACTTTATACCATCAATTCTAATGATACAGGGAAAGTAAACAGTGATGCATATATTTTCTTCATACTTGCATCCTTTATAATAGGTATTTTGTTTTGAGCAAAGGCCTTTATATTTCTGTTCTGTTAGGACGTTGAGCAGGACATGGAGCATCTGTAGATCTATTGAGGTAGTTATTAGGTTCTGACTTCTGATTGTGACCAAAAGCTCAAGTAGGGAAATAACATAATCTATTATGCTGATCTGAGAGTGAAATTATTCAGATGGCATTTTGGAGGTCCTCTTTACATGGAGGTGAGATATCAAGCATGAGTAAGTGAGAATGTGAGATGATTGAAGAGATTGAGGAATATTGGCATAAGTTCGCCTATGGTATAATAACTGGCAACTTTGATCTACCATAAGTTCTCTATTTTTACATCCTTTTACTTATGTATTTAGTACTTACAGTACCTATAATGCTTAATCCAAGGCGCAAGAAGGCCCTCACAGAATAAGAAGTGAAATAAGGTTACTGAATTCCCCTGACCATGTGTCATCAAGAATTGACCGGGGTGAATGTCAGATGTATAAATACAACCTAACCATTCCATTTTATAATCCCACATAGATTTGAATCGTGTATTTTTCTTCTGTGCAACTGAAAAATGGATTTCGGTTATGCACAGAAGCAGCATCTTCTCTTCTGCTTGCTGCATTGCATACTGCATATATAGTCGTCACAAATGTCTTAAGCCTTGACCTTAACCAATAAAATGTGGGTTATATGTCACAAAAATTATTCCATTAAATTCGTACTATATAAAGAATTTTCCTATGGTATAATCTTTAAGTTACATGACTTGTGTATTATTTCTCTAATTGATGATCAAAGTTAAATCTCAAAAATGTGTATGCCATCTTTTTGTAGCTCAAGGAAGTAGTGTTTTCTCCTCATGCAAGCCTATTCCTGGTGTCAGACGATGTGTGGGTAAGATGATTATCCTAATCTGTCAAGTGTCAAGAGTCTACAGCCTAACATAACCTCGTAGAGAAAAAATGGAACGATAATGTCAGCTAACTTACAGCATATGCATGAAAAGTAGATGATGACAAGTGAAAACAGCAAAACAGGAAAACAAGTAAAGCTCACTTCATCGGGAATATTGGGGTTAGCACCAGCATCTAGTAAGAACTTCATGATGCCAGGTGAGTCAAACTTCACTGCCAACATCACGTAACTACCACCATCAAAGTCAATAAAATTCATATCAGCACCAGCCTGTGCAAATGAACAACTATTTGATCATTTGTTTGGGTTAATGCTTTATATGTTATATACACAAAGAAAATGAAGTTGTGCCTACAAAACTTTAACAAAGCTCCATACGAAGAAAGAGTACTGACCTTAACAAGTAGCTTGACACATTCCAACGGCTCTCTAGGCATGGGCCTGATGGCACGGATGGCCCAACTCAATGGGGTATAACCAAGACCGTAAACCTTGTTAGGCTACGAAAAATGGAAGAATCAATCACTTACACTAGTAGGAAAGAAAAGAGCGACCAGTAGAGAAATTAATTTTGAGATACATCAATAGAGAAGTAAAGTATACTAATGGTGTGTTAAATATATTGGTATTTCTGAAGGGAACAGAAAGAAATATATTACATAGAAATTAGACATAACATGAGCATGTTTTACTTTATGATAATTAAATACTGTCCAGGATGAATTTTTGTTGTTTCAAATACTCCCTCTTAAACTAATATAGGACCATTTAGATCACTAAAACGGTCCTATATTAGTTTACAGAGGGAGTACAGTGCTGATCTTTTGTTCCGATGGAGCACAAGATCAAAGGCAACAAGATCTTCCATTCCAGTGCATTCCCAAATAGAATATACACAGATGAAGCACGAGTACCACTGGCCACAAGATATTCCATTCCAGAGTTCTCTTTTTCACTGCAAAGAAGAGAACAAAGAAACTGGTGTCTTACATCGACATGGTGCTCCAACAAGATCTTAATTATGTCATGGTGTTTAGAAATAGCAGCTGCATGCAATGGTGTCCCTTGTGCAGAATCTAAATCCACATTGATTCCTTTTGAAAGCAGTAGTTCTACTATTTCACAATGTCCTGGAAAACGAGGTTTCAAAAAAGAATGAATGAGACAAGAATATTTCTCAACATCGGATACGAGCTTTCAGTTTTCATTTTGCACTAAAAATTAACTCTGGGCCACTTTTCAGTTTTGTGATCATGAACTGCCCAGTAACCATTTTGGTTACCACTTATCTCATCAAGGACCATGTTTTCAAAAGTGGACGGATTGGGACTATTCAAATTTTCCTTGTCTATCCTTGGAAGTAGAAGAAGTCGTCAATTTTGAGCTTATAAGATTATAATCAAAACCTTAGATAACATTAGATATCCAACCTCAAAGTTATTCTCTCCACACACTCGTTAATGTTTCTTCGGCCATCATCCAAATAAAAAATATGGCAAGTATATGGGAGCTTTGTTCGATGGAAATCACATAAAAAAAGGCAAGTATATGCTAAAATATAAACATCAAGCATCACACAAGCCAAGAGAGGTGTCATAGTAGTCAACTATAACGATCACAAGAGTGTGAAGGCTGTAGCTCTGTGCGTTGTGATGTGTGTTTCTTACTTACTTTATTCAAAGAGAGAGAACCTACCAAACAAATGTTAACAAAATTAAGACTAATCTTATCAAACGAAAACCAATAACTAGTTTGAAGGAATGGATCCAATTTGGATCAGTCGCCCAGAAATGCTTACTTCTCTCACAACAATATGGGGCAAAACCAAACAGAGAGAGGCTACCAGACAAATGTTAACAAATTAATCCAATTTGGATCAGTCGACCCAGAAATGCTTACTTCATATAACAATGGAAAATTGAAAGTTTATTTTATAACCAGCCATATAAAACAAAAAAAAAGAATCCTGAGACTAATTTTCACTGACTGAGAATTAGCAAAACCATTACAAAAACGCTTTATCCAGTTATCTCTAAGGCTGATGCAATGCCTCCTACCACCGGTTAGGATCCCTATGCCTGCTAACCCACAGTTGCGGGGCCATGTTGGTCGGAGTCTAATGCTGCTTATATCCAGCGATGTGGCTTTCTAAGGCAAAAAATCAAATTGACTATGTATGCACTGACACGTGATAGATAAGCATACTTGTTGGAAAAGAGAGAGACCTTCCTTTGCAGCGCCATGGAGAGGTGAGTGTACTTTGCCAGCTAGTGGATCAGCACCATGATCAAGAAGATATCTTGCAGCATCAGCTCTCCCATATGAGGCAGAAAGGTACAGTGGCGTGTCACCTGCAACAGTCGAAAAATTAAACATGAGGAGCTCAACAAATTCACGCCAATCCTGCCCTCAATACAAAAAGTTGTACACAAGAGAGCCAAACGTGAAAAGAGAACTTAGCTAGTGCAGTATCAAATGCCTATCCATCTGACACATGTTTACTGTTGACAAAATTGCACAACGACAGACAGAGGAGACACTTCATATACAGTCCACAAGTAGCGGTTTGCCCGTACAACATATCCAAAGAAAACCGGCGATGTTCGCGGTATGTCTGTGTGCATATATTGGACATGGGGATATTTGAAATCGATCCACTTGTCACTTAATCACAATTTACAAATGCATATATACACCATACAACATGTAACACCAAATTTGAAGCCTAAAATAAGGATTTCACATGGTAGTAAGTAGTAACTAACTAGTAAGCAGAATCAGCATACTAATACACAACTAGAAGTTGACAATTTACAAATGCATACACCATACAGCATGTAACACAAAATCTGAAGCCTGAAATGCGAATTCCACCATACAGCGTGGTAGTAACTGACAGTGAGCAGAATCAGCATAAATAAATACTCCCTCTGTAGTAGTAATCTAAACGCTCTTATATTAGTTTACGGAGGTAGTACATAAATAGAAGTTGACAGAGCTGCCAAGTGACGCGGAGGGGAGCAGGGAAGGGAACGCCACCTATGAGGTTGAGCTGATTGACATCGAGGCGGAGGTCCTGGACGAGGTACCTGCAGACCTCGAGCCGCCCCGCCGCGGCCGCCAGGTGCAGCGCGCGGTCCCCTTGGCCGTCCTCCACCGCCGCCAGGACAGCGGCCTCGCCTTGCCCGCCGGAGCCCATCCACCTCGCCATCTCTGCGCGACGCGAGAATTGGGAGCCAAGTCAAGGCACTAACCCGTCAAGCTACTACCATCATCAAACCCTAAGGAGAAAGAGCATGAGGAGGAGGAGGAGGAGGCGGGCTTACTCTTGAGGAGGCGGAGGTTGCCGGCGGCGGCGGCCCCGAGGAGCGCCTCCTCCCTCTGCTGCTTCCCCATCGCCTCCATCTCCATGGCGATGGAGAGACGCGAGAGAGAGTCGCGAAATTTTGAGAGCGAGACTGCGGGGTGGGCTGTGGAGAAGACGAGGAGACCCGGACGACGGGGAGGGGAGGAGTCCGTGGGCCGAAATGGAATCCTAGGCTTTCGCTTGCTTCCCCGCCGTTGGTGGGCACACCCACTTGACGCTCACTACGCCAAAATGCTCTGGCCCGACCGCTGGTTGACCCAGAGGCCCAGCTTACTACTCCCTCCATTGAATAATGTACTCCCTCCGTCTCAAAATAAGTGACTGAACTTTGTACTAGCTTTACAAAGCTTATTTTAGAACAGGGGAGTAGGAATGAGGAAGTATTTTTGTGAAAAAATGTGAAAAAATGTCATCATCAAAAGATAACCCTAATTGCCATTATCTTAATTATGAAAGAAAAACAGTCGTGCTTCTTTATTACTGTCATTTCTCTCATTTATAAATCTACAATGAGTATGATAAGAAAAATGTCGTGTGATCTACAAAATAAAACTGCCATGCTAAACTTTAAAAACTGCCATCCTCTAAATAAGAAATATTTTCTCTACTACTAATAAACAATCCAACATTATCTTCTCTAAACGCACCTCATAAAACATACACGGATTTATTAGCACCGCATGATTAGACTCATCAACTCGATCTAACAGTTAGGCTTAATATAATCTGTTTTCTGGCGTGCGTTTAGTAATTTAGGTTAACTAGTAAATATGCACGTGCAACGCACGTCTTGCCTAATATTATAACCATACATTCACAAATATAACACGTGTTCGAATATTTTAATATATACTACATTTGGATTGAAATAAGTGAACAAACACACTAAAATATGTCTATATACATCCGATTCACAAAACATAGTTTAAACCCATTATGTAGACAAAGAAGAAACAAAATAAACATAATAGGAATTGAACTTTGTACGGGCCTTTGCCCTTTTCTTCTTGTATCTATAAAGTTCACATGTAGTTCTCCTCCATGATTAAAAAAAGACACAGAGAAATAATTAAATAACTCATGAAAGCCCGAAACTCGTCCAACATGATCTTCAACTTCTCAAAGGGCATGAAAGGATGACTGTAATCTCCAACTCATTTTTGGCGATGGTCTTAAATGTAATTAGTACTGTAGTGCCAACCTCATGTCATGTCTCGTGAGGAACTTCTTCCATCCTTGCTTGAAGAATAAGCGATCGACAAGTGAGGTGTCATACTCGGTCCTCCTGAAGCTCTCTTTGCCCAACCTTAATCTCGCCAGCCCATGCTTCGGGGTGTTCAAACAAGAGGCAACTTCTTTTGGAATTTTCTGGGTGCCCCATAATGTACACACACACAAAATATTAGGTTGGCCATTCTGGGTGTCTAAACAAAAAGACCAACTGAGAAAATGGTGAAAACATACATACCATCATTTGTAGTTCTGCGTTAGTCCTAGTGAAGCGGTGTATGAAGAATGGTCATGTGACCTATGGTGGAGCGGCAATAGGTTGCACAAGTTAGCTATGGCATAATGACAATTAGCTAATTGAACTATGTAGGACAAAATATAAGACAAAATGGGGAAAAGACACAACAAATATATCCCAAAAAAGGACCAGCTACTATGTGAACTGAGTTTCAAAATAATTGACAACTCTAAAACTTTCAACTAGAATACAGATTAATGGATAGATAGCAACAAAAAAAATGCAAGTTCTAGGATAGGTGAAGAGCATAAAGCTCGGTCACAAATTCCTATGTGTGTCAATCTAGTTTGGAACACCCTACTCTGAATTTCCATCAGAGCAAGAGCACAACTATGTTTCCACAAAAATCTTCTCAAGCTAAAATCTTCCCCTTAGAAAGCGGCAAGTGGCCAGTGGAAACACATATCATAGCTGATCAACAAACATGTTATTTTGTCTATGAATACATTCAAGCATCAATCGAATGACAAATTTACAATACGGAGAATGACAAGACTGGTAAATGAATAGTGATTTCTCTTAGTTCCTTTGAGGCTCATCTGGTTTGACAGTCTGACAAATGAGCAGTTCATCAACATCAGTAATACCAAACCCATATCCATCTCATTGTCCTTATGCAAGAACAGGGAGCATGCCAACTTACCTCAGGGAGAGAGAAAAAAAGATGCAAGTCGACGGAAAGTTCCAGTTGATGCTGATGGAAATGGAAATGGGCTTGATCTCCTTCAGTACAGTGGAGATAGCAGTGCCAATTCCAACACGTGCATCATCCATATTGTACACCGATGCCTACAATTTATGGAATGAGATCGTATCATTGAAAAAAATAGACTGAAGAAAGAATACAGTAAGGATTGATTGTTTTTGAGGGAATATGACTAAAAACACTAATTGACAAAGAGAAAAATAAAATAAAACAAGAGGGTCTGAAGACTGATATATAATAACTAAAATCTCAGGGCTGAGAGACTGAAGAATGATGCATTTGTTGTCCCAACACTTTTACATTCAGTCAAGGAAGTGTTCACATATCTAGATACAACAGATGGATTTATTGGGCACCGAGTTCTAGCAACAGAATGGCTAACATATTAAAGAAAGTATTGTGCTGAAGTGGATTTTTGGAGGCAACATGTGAACACTTATTTACTAAGTTATAACTGTTCTCATTTTCACATATAATATTCTATAAAGAAGTGTTATATATGTTGATTAGGTACAAACTCCATACCATGTTACTCCTCCGATAATCTTCGGGAAACAACAATATTTGTAATATCTTGAAATGGTGTACATGCTTGTATGTCAATGGACCTAGCTAAATGGAGTTTTCCTTGCCTTCCTTCATAGATGATTTTTTATAGATGATCGATCGTGCACAAATTAAATCAAGCTCCTGCATCAAACAGTATATCATCAAAAAAAATTGGTACGAAATTACATGGCAGCATATATGATTGTACAGAAAAAGAAACCGAAAACATCTGTAGGCATAAACACAAAAATTTGGTGGTCGGGATTTATGCATAAACACAAAGACTTGGTAGTCAAAATTTAGGATTTCCGTGTCCCTCCTACAGGCGACCACCAGTACCAAGGTTGCCGTCGCTGGTCTTTGCTCCTCCCCTGCGTGTCGATCTGTAGCAATGGTGTCGCTGCCATGACCGTCCCTTCCATAGATCCAACTTGTCATAGCCAGATTCATGCAGATCGAGGCCACCAAATCCTGATTTGTGCAGATCGAGGTTGTGTTCACCAGATCCATGCACATCGAACTCTCCAAAGGCCTCTTGACAATGGTATAAACAATTGTCCTTTTTTGACTATTTTTCTGGTGCACAACATTTAGATATATCCTTGTTGTCAAAGTGAAAGTGCAGATAATGCCTCTTCTGTATGCATTCCTAACAGCTTAGACTGGCCTTGTTATTCTCCTTGTAATTATAAGGAATCTATTTAGTCTTGCAAGTTTCTCTTTTCCAACATACAACCGTGCTGTTATGAATATTTACTTGCTTCATATGCCATACATTTTCTTTTTCGTAATGCAACAATTGTTTGTTCTGTAACTAACATATTTGAAACAGAAATTATTGTTTTCCAGGCATCCATTACATTTTTATCACACTAATAATCTTTTTTGTTGCGTGTGAACAAAAAAATGGATATAATTTAAATATCTACGTGAGAACAGTGTCATTGACTACTTCTTTTTCACACTGGATCAATTATTCCTTGTCAGAAAAAATTCAACATGTATCACTGGTATTGCTGCAGAGTTTATTCTATACTGGAAAGCATGCATTCTAAAGGGTAAGCATGCATTTCCTTACCTGCCCTGCTCTTGGCTATCTATGAGCCGCGTGCTTGCATTGGATCGAGGCCGCGCCACCCCACCTCAACAACCCATGGCTGCTATTTAGGTGATTTCTTTGCCTAATTTTTTGTTTGTCTAGGACGTAATTTTTTGGTTGATTCATTCAACTTTATAGGTGCATAGAATCGCTTCGCTCAGGGCATTAACGGATTTCTCCTCAATTGGAATGCTCAGACTATCAAAATAGAGAATGAAAAGCTTTGTAAGCATAAACACAAACACTTCGTGGTCAGATTTTTCTTTTGGGGATTATTCTATTTATGCTAGATCTGAGCCATGAATCAACAAAAAGAATGCCTATGCCCAGCGCAAGGATCCCAGCTCATTCCACGGGATGGTATAGTGTGCAAGATAATTTTAATCTTCTATCTGCTTCAAAGGAAAAAACGTATGAAGCTACTGACCTTTCTCTGGCCAGCGGGCTGAGGGCATGGGATGGTGCTGGGCATGTCCAGAGGGAGGAAGGAGGAGCTCGTATCAAGGAGCATGACGATGGCAGTACGGAACGCGTCGCCTTCACGCACGCGCCCTCCACCATGCAGCCACGCCCCGCACCCAGCGCCGCGTCCCTGGCCGCCCGTTGTGTCCCGCGCTGCCGCCGATGGTCGAGGGAGGAAAGGGACCCCGCCGCCGACGACAAAGGCCGAGCCCGCTGCGTCCCGCGCTGCCGCCGATGGTCGAGGGAGGAACGGGACCCCGCAGCCGTCGACGAAGGCCGAGCCCACTGCATCCCGCGCCGCGGCCGCTGCTCGATGGAGGAGAGGGACCACAACGTCCCATCGACGTAGGTCAAGCTCGGTGCACCCCGCTCCGCTGCCGCTGCTCGAGGGAGGAGGGCCGTGCGCCGCCAGCCGTGTGGGTTTTATTTTAGGGAGGGCGGCGGCAATAGGTGCGAGGAGGCAGGGGCGAGAAGAGATGGGGCACCCGATTTCATTATGTTTCCTTAGCTAGCGATCAGAATTGCGTGATTACAGGGGGGCGCAGGACTGGTTGGCAGAATATTCCTCCGTGGGTGGAGTATGGTCAGTCATTGAAAATTGCTAAGTCCACCTCATAGAGTTATTAGATCAATCATGGCTGTTAGATTGAGATTTGTGGGACTAATCGTGTGGTGCTGATCGGTCCGTGCGGTGTTGTGG